GAAAAGTTTAGTTGCCACATCAATAGGCGATAAGATGAGAAAGTAGATTTAGGTAGGTTAGCCAGGTGTGGTGCGGATCTAATACCGCACCTTTTAAGAGGTGCGAGTTAGTTCAAGTTGAAGGCTCAAAAAGGGCAAGGAGTAAGCCCAAAAAGACATGGTTGGAAGTAGTGAGAAAAGATATGGGGACTTATGGCCTCATTGAGGGTATGGTCCTTAATAGAGCAGAATGGCGGACCAAGATTCTTGTAGTTGACCCCAATTAATTAGGAAAGGGAAAGGTTTCTATACTTCCCCTCCAACATAGAAGATCTATGCTTCATCTATCATCCAGCCTTCGAATTTTGATCAAGAGAGCCACTCACCGTTTGATCTTAGATCCGACATATCAAAGTATTTTATTCTTAGTTTTTTTTTAATACATAATGTATGAATATGAAATTAGGTACGTGCCATCTTCTCATTGGGGAGCACATATAAAAAATATTAAGAATAATTTTTTGATAAAATATAATGACCAAAATACCCCTTAAAAATTTCTGGGGTATTTTGGTCATTTAATTTTATTGAAAATATCTTTTTTATATTTTTCGCTAGTGCTAGTTTAATAGAGGATTGGACATACAAAATTTGGTGTCAAAACAAATAGAAAAAAATTAAAAATAAAATAGTGTAGAGACGTAACATTGTGATTGGGGCAATCTTAACCCTCCATTCAAAATGGACGGTTGGATAAGGGAAAGTATATAAGTTTTATGTTGTAGGGAAAGCATAGAAAGCTTGCCCATTAGGAAAAGGCTATAATGATAATGATAATGATAATGAATGACACTCGATGGTAGGATGAAGAATATTGAAAGTAGCTCCAGTTATAAACTGAAGTTTGCTTTATGGAGTGTCTTGTATTCTTTAAATTCCTGCTTCAAAACATTTTTGCACATTTCTGCATACTATATATGATGCCTATAACAGGTAATTGGTCCTTTGACATGAGTATGATAATGCACAATCAATCATAGGTACACATTTTTTTAATACACAACCTTAGAATCCTATCCGAAACAGTCAGCATTAGTCATTACAGTTTATTTTATTTTTTTGAGAAAATTTTTAATTAAAGAGAAATAATTATGAAGACCAAATTGCAAGCATGACATACACGAGCTATCAAATTTGTAATTAAATATCACAGTATTTTGTCAATTACAAAAAGATTTCCACATGTGAACTATCCTGATGTTCAAGTCTTACAGAAGCTAACCAAGAATTAGTAGAACAAAACCTGTAATGCAAACATGAAAAGCATACATTCACATCTCGATCTTTGGAAACAAAAAGCTCTAAGAAATCCAGATTACGCTTTTATAATATGATGATCAATGATTTTCTTGCTTTACAGAGAACTTGGAGAAATCTAGGTAGGCTTCTGTAATAATGGAATACAACACAAGAAGCAATTCCTATCATAATTACTTGGAAGTGGAGAATGCACCAAACATATGGTTCTTCTCCTATGGAACGACTGATTGTGAATAACAAATATTCCTCATATGTCATGGACATATATGCAACGGAAATATCTAAAGAATATCATCTCCTTGTCACAAACAAATGGGAGTGATTAATCTTGCACGGTCAGCTTCAGGGGTTTTGAAGAAGTATATCCAAGGAGATCATAGCCGACATACACTTTTATTAAAGGGCACATCTATAAGAAGTACTTTAGTATTTACTCTATTTTCTGTAAGTATAGTGATCTTTGTTTTATACCGCTGATATATACCTCTTAGAAGTTATTATTTTATCTTATAAAATTCCAAAAGAAAAAGAAAGAAATGGCATCTGATATCAATAAATAGAGATTAAGAAAGAGCGTATCAACCATGAAGTAAGGTTCTGACCACATTGTATTGACTTCCGTAAGTACATGGGATCAGAAGGGAAAACATTATGCAAGGAGAATATCTGATATTTTCATGGCAACTATCAAAGCACAGTAATGCCAACTCTTTTCAGTAAAACACAATCAAAGACATCACAGAACAGAAATGCTAGAAAACAAAATGTATAAGAGCAGCTATTCTATGTGTATGAATATCTGTGTGCATGTGTGCATTTGTATATATTGGGTGGGGGCGGGGGAGACCTTAGCAAATTCATCTTCCAAATTATCAATGAGACGCTGTTGAGTCTTTGCTTTGCCTAGCATGGCAGGCATCTCCTTCCTAAGATGACTGATAATATAGGAATGAATCTTGGCAGCTCTAGCACGCTTTACAAATTCATTTATCTGCATACCAGAACATGCAAAATCAACCATTGAGCTGCGAAGAAAATCCACAAGAAAAACAGATCTTCTGAGAAAGATCAAAATGAGAGTTCAGCTAAGAAGAAAACATACACGTCGATCACAAGCTTTTTTAGGAATATCTTTCAAATCAGATAGAAGATCCTCCTGTTCTTTCTCAAACAGCTCTTTTCCAATTGGACCAATGGCTCCTTCATTTATGGGCTTATCATTGAATGAACTGCCAGAAATAATTGTTCGTTAATGGCTGCTTATGCGGAATGAACTAAAGTTTCGACATTAGTTTGCCTTTATTAAAGGGGCCACATTTCTGATACAACCAAAAAAAAAAAGTATAGGAAAAGCTCGTATGAAAGTTCAAATGAAAAAAGGAGATGCAGGCCGCATATCCACAGAAAAGAATGCATATACTTAGCTCAGAACTCTAGAGTCAAATTTAGGGAAAACTCCTTAAAAAATATGGCCTTAAAGATTCTAAGTGAATTTGGTTTCATCCTCATAAGCTATGGGTGTCAAGGTTCACAGCAAACCTTTGTTTCCAAAATAACAAAATAAATCAAATGTTTTTTGAGCATGCTAACATATTAATAAACCGAAAGTGTCCCACATAGATCATCATACTGAAGTCCAGCCATTAATTCAAAATCAAAGCAACCAACTAAATCAATTGCTGACATCTGCTAGCACAAGACATATCCCATGACCCAAAGCATTGAAATATATATCATACAAGAAAACAAGAGAAACTTGAAGTCTGTGAAGATACCCAATATAAACTCGATTAACCTCCGGAGTGTTCAAGACCTTCCCGAGTGACCACATCAATGCTCCATATACTCTCATCAGCTACAATATAAAGCCGAACAGAAGCATACAATTTAATCATCTCCATAAATACCAAGAGATATTCAAAAAAATGTCAAGTTCATATGATTTAATAGCTGAAAAAATTGGGTTGTTTACCTGCTGAGTGTCAACCTGATCTGCCTTATTAAGAACCACACGTATCTTGTCATCATGGCCACGTAGAGATCCAATCACACGCTTGAACTCGTCACTGATATCAAGTTTGTGTGGATCAAATAACAAAAGAATAAGGTCACATTTTGCTGCAAACCATGACGTAACACCAGTGAAATCATAGCTGCGTTGGGTCCGCTGTTTTTCTCCAGAGAGAACTCCAGGAGTGTCAACAAATGTAATATGCTCCAGCAGCTTCACACATGACAAGGAAACCAACAAGTTTGAGTTCCACAAAAGCAATAAATAATCCAACATTTAAATTCACAAGTATTACATGCTATCTTACTGGATGTGGCATTTGTGAGCACTCAAATTTTGATAAGAAAGCAGATCCAAATGTTGTGAGACCACTGAAAGGCATGTCTGCTTGCACTGCAATTGTATTACCAGGTATGCTCCGTTCATCAGGCCCTGACTACAAAAGGAACGAAAAACTAATCAAAGATGGTAACATAAATCCTCCTAAGAGTGAAATCTGCAAGCACATTACGAACAAAAAATTACAAACATTTTCCCATGAAGCCACACGAAATACAAGGTAACACTAATCAAGGAAAGAAAACCACATTAGATTAGAGGAACTAATAAAAAATTATAACAAAATATTATGCATAAAAAAGTAAAAGCATGATAAAATCAAATCCCAACAAGTTATTGCATCTCTTCTTAATGCAATGAAGATGAGGGAGATGGAAGGCACTTGAAGCAGGGAGGATGGAGGGAAGATGGGAAAGGAATAATTAAAATAATTATAATAATAACAATAATAATAATAATAATAATAGTAGTAGTAGTAGTTAAGCGATGCAAGATTAACCCTCTCTCAAGGTCTGCAAGGAGTCCACCGCAAAAATCTCTTCAAATGATCCAAAAAACTCTTTTCTCTTCCAAAATAACCAAGTTCGACGTCCTTCCCTTCAAATACAACTAAAAAAGATATAAAAATAAAATTGAAAACCGACAAAAATCCCTCTCTCCGACATTTTCGCCTTGGATTTAGGAAGCTCTCACCTAAGCCACGCACCACCCTTATCCACTTCTCCCCCATAACCTCTTTAAAATGTCCTCATCTTTGAAAAAAATAAATTTTCAATTCTACCCCTCAAATCTCTACAACAAAAAAAGACAAATAAAAACTCTAAAGAAAGCTAAAAAGCCAAATAATACCAAAATCCAAAATCTAAAAAATATAAATAAAAAATTAAAAATTAAAAAATCCATTTTTTATTTGCATTATTCTCCTCAGGTTGGAAGAAACTTGACCTCAAACTTGTAGATTTAACATAATCCTCTAATAGTTTTTCCAATAGTAGGTGATGCAGTCCAACCATTCATCAGGGTACTTTTTCTTCTTCAATAAAACAATTGATTCAACACTTTATATCCAGCTTGTAATGGGCATACATGACTTAATCTTGATTTCTCCTTTCTGCTCAAGGAGTTGTATTTCACATACCGCAAGTAGCGTATATTCTTATTCATAATTGATTGTAGAAATTTAAAGCACTTCTAGGTTGTTGTCAACATCTTTCACATTGAGATTTACATGTTATTGTTCTTCTTCCCCCTGTTGCATCCTACTAAATCGATCTTCTAGAACCTGTATTGCTTTGCCCAGGTCTTCTTTGAGCCACTCAAATATTTGGTCTATACGCTCCATAACTGGATGAGTAGTTTGTGATGCATCATGGTATGTGGATCTCAAGTTTTTAATTTCAAGGCTCTGATACCACTAGATGCAACGAGGTACCAATTGATGCAAAGAGAAGCTCTGATACCAACTAATGGAGGGAAGATAGGGCAAAAATAAATAAAATAAAAATAATAATAAAGGGATGAGAGAATATACCCTCTCTTAAGGGTCTACAAGGGAGTCTACCCCAAAGATCTCTTACAAGATCCCAAAAACTTTTTTCTCTTCCAACATAACCAAGTTCTCAAGAAAGGGACGTCCTTCCCTTTAAATACAAGTAAAAGAAAGAATAAAAATAAAATTTAAAAAACCTCAAAAATCCCTCTCTCTCCCACATTTTCCCCTTAGATTTAGAAAGCCCTTACCTAAGTCACGCTACGCCCTTATCTATTTCTTCCCTATAACCTCTTCAGCATATCCTCATCTTTACACAAAATAGATTTTTTACTCCACCCCTCAAATCACTACAATGAAGAATGACCAAAAATAACCCTAAAGAAAGCTAAAAACCCCCAAAACACCAAATTTAAAATCTAGAAAATATAAAAATTTAAAATTAAAAAAAAAAAACTTTTATTTTGCATCACTTCTCTACAACCAGAACTAAAAATCATAACCTATGGGTCAGATATAGTCCATCATCCAAAAACAATAGCATTGATTCAATCCCACACCACAACAAAAATGACATCAATTTAATTGTATGTTCCATCTAGCACGTATATCATACAATGCCCTCGGAGAGAATCTTCCGAACTTTACATCCACCCTCTTTCAAGAAATAGTTGCACATCACTATCACAAGTCTTCCTCTCTTATCCCAACTCTGCCTTAAAGCTCCAATCACTTGCATTGACAATCAAAATAAGAGATTTGTGTCCCTCCGAATTTACTTTTATGTCTCTGTTACTCCTACCCATCTCACTTTTTAGTGTCCATTCACGTAATTTCGAACCCACGTACCTTAGACAACTTCTTCCAATCCTATCGCAACAAACAATGCAACCTGAGATAGAGATCTATTATTGGCTGCTAAGACATGGTTATTGTCGAGTTACCTCGCATAGAAAGCCCAATCATTTCAATAGGTCTACAAAACCAAGAATAAAGAAGATGGAACGGTGGGCTGGTATAAACATGCCTCGCTCTCATCCAGTTGCACAAGACAGGTGACAGGATTGATAACAAGAACATTTGCCACACAGCAAAGACATCTGCATTACAAACGCTCTTTACCGATACTTCCATGCAATGTTGGCCCTCACAATAAGATGTGAAGAACATGTTTCTTCCCAAAATTTCAATGGAGAATATGCATCCAACACTGACATATACGCCATCAAACAGGATATTCTTTGAAAAATTCACTCGCTGTACACTCACCAATCGAGTTGATGTTTCCTTGCTTATTTCCACGGATGATATAGACAGTACCGGGAAATGACCAGCAAGCTATTTAGCATCCAATGTCTTGGATGGATTGATCAGCCAAAACAACCAAGGCCTCTTCCTACCATCAAATTTATTCCTGTCTTCCTAAAACTAATCTTACTATGAGATTGGACCTATCTCTTATGATGGTTAAGACTCCAGAGATCGAACCTTTCTTCTTCCTTTCATTTGTGTGTATTCAAGATTACTTTGGGTGTGCAATGAATATTTGATTTTGAGAAAAGAGGCTCCCTTAGTGGTGCAATGGAGAAATTGTCACCTACAGTAATCATTGTGAAATGCATATACCAGTTGTTATGAAAATTTTTAAGTACGAAGATGGTGAGATTTTCATTTTTTAAGTAAAATTAGGCACACAGATATTGTAATATATATTCCTAGCCAAAGTTTAACAATAGGGAAAATATATAATGAGACCATTTACATTTGGTGCATGTGAAATTGGGCGACTGCATTTATTTCTTTGACCAAGCTCAAAGCTCAAAAGAAATTTTCTCCCACTTTGTGACACACCCAAGCTATCAGATTTCACATGGGATAGTTACAAGTAATTGTGACCTCTTTGTACCAAAGGTAAATTCTCTCATTGTATACAATCCCTTAACAATAATTCTAGATCCCTTATCATGGGAGCCGAATCATAGATAGCACATAAGAACATTTTCAAAGGTGAACTAACACGGAGACAACATATTCAAAAAAGAAACATAAAGCCCACATACGTTAACACTTCTAAAAAATAAAAATAAAAAGGCCCACATAAGATAGGAAAGTAAATTGGTAAAAATTGTATCACTGCAACAACATTGATAATTCTATTTTCATCAATTTAGAGCTACAATAAATTTCAATGAACAGACAACTGCTCAAGTGGCATCAAGAGAACATACCATAACAACTACAAAGCGATCCGTTGTTGGCTCTGGTCCAATGTGAGCTCCTACACAACAAGGAAAAAGCAATAAGCATAATGCAGCTTTACATAGACAAATTATTTGTTAAAAATAAGGAACAAATTATTTGTTAAAAATAAGGAAAATTGCCTGTAGTTATGCCTACCAGGATAACTGGACCTAAGTAAATGCTTGATAAATGTGGTTTTTCCAGTAGAGTATTGACCCAAGAGCATAACCATTGGCTTGGCATCAAAGTCACTGTTAGTCTGTAAAACACTAAATGACGTTAATAAAAAATAATAAAACCACCAGCATTCATCTTTAAATCATAAAATAACAATAGCTGCCAAATTTCATGAAAAAAAAAAGTAACCTTAATTTATTATTACCAAATGTACTTCTGAGAAGAAATTCACGTACCATCAGTAACCACATTTGTTGCATATACAGGGACGACATGATTCTTTATGTAATATTCTACTCACCAATAATGGAGAAACAAAATCATTGAATCGGTAGGTCACTTCCAAAGGCTTTAGCTTCTCCAAATATAACCTCTTCAAACCATCAATGATGGATGTCACAGAATTTAAGGGTACCTAGATACGCAAAAGACATTAAAACACAGTTGAAGAAAAGGTATTGTTTGAAAAGTCATAGAAACAAGATAGATGTTAACAATATAAACAATTGCACAATTCTGAAAACGATAAAGTAATGACACCTATTTACTTTATTTATCTTTTATCTAATAATTTCCTGTCCATGTCCCTAGTATCCTATCTAACTTGCTTTTAAGTAGTTTAACAAAAGTATCACAACCACTGCAATACTTTCATCACTGTACATTTTCTAATGTGACCCATCTCCTCCCCAAGATGTCCTTGATCAATCTCAATGAAAAGAGAGCAATGGAATCATGTATCTGTGGCATTTGCATCACAGAGTTCTTGATGTTCGACAATATAATGTTTGTGATTTCTGTGAGAATTGTCAATTGTCAAAACAAGCTAGAAGTCCTACAAGTAGAAGACGGCCTATAGATGATCCTCACTAATCCTCTTTCAATTAAAAATTCAGATGCTTAAAGACCTGCCACTTTGACATCTTGATCCAATTAAAGGTATCATGTGTCATTCATTAATGATAGTCCCATAATTTCATGGTTTCTGGTATGGTTTCCTTTTAGTCAAAGGACAAAACCCCAACCATCTTTACACAATTCTTTCAAAACAATATTGCTCAATTCAATGCTATAGTTGGAATATTTTAATTTATATTATTGATCCATCCAATGTTTTATGAAATGCTTATTGCATTATTAATATTGTCTTCCCACCTGAGTTCTTGATAAGCTATTATCTTTGCAAAAAATAGAAGGTCGCTATCCAGAGTAATTAGCCTGGAAGTCACTAAACAGTGTCCATCAAATGTTTTATGAAATGCTTATTGCATTATTAATATTGTCTTCCCACTTGAGTTCTTGATAAGCTATTATAAGGTCGCTATCCATCTTACATTTCGAGACTTTCGGATATCATCATCATTATCATCATCAGAGCCTTATCCCAACTATATGGGGTCAGCAACTATAATTATATGCCTAAAAATTAGTCAAATTAATTAGCAAAATCCACAAGGTGCATTTTTTGGTACTCACAAACCTGGACGGTTACAAAATGTTATCCACCAAAAAACATTTCATCTTGAAACATCACATGTTTCAGAGCCCCAATAACAGCAAGCAGTGAAGTTGTTTCCAAGCAACTTCTCACTTGTTCAAGACGTGTTATTACTCAACAAGGTGATGAAGGAAAAGCCCTAGGATAAGTACTAAACTACTAACCTACTCAAATTCTTCTTGACTAAAGTATGCCCTTCTGTAAATGAAAAACTACCGCAAGGAAGAGATGAAGAGATAGGATAAAAGAAACCCTCTTGAGGTAAAAAATTCATCAAAAAGAATGTGGTCTTTGGCAATTAAAAAAGGATACCAAGACCTCTATGAACAATGAAAATATGTACTGACTAATGTGCAGGATCGGTATATTAAAAAGGTGCCCATCTCGGATTCAAGGTGGCACCTTGGGAAGCCAGGCCCAGGCACACTGCCCCGGGCTGGCAATGCCTAGCGCTTGGTGCCTAGGCAGGAAGGCCTAACAACACCTAAGGCCTTTTATACACTGTTCCGGATAGCCAATAACATATTCCCTTGCTACAAACTCCCTTTCAAATTAATGGGAAGGAGCTTATAACTATCAATTTGTCGACTAGAAGCTGATGACAGGATCTAATCAAGTATTTAGTACATCTGTCTAACCAACCAATACTTGGAGATGAGAGATACTAGTACAAATATATGAAACCACCAGATTACATGCAAACAGATGCCATTAATTTGTTGGCAAACAAGTAGGGGGGAAAGGGGGAACCCCAACACCATAAAGAAGATTAAAGCAACCAGATGATCTCAATGGACACAAAATTCATATTGTGATATTCAGCTTTTGTGCCATACACGGATGTAACTTCTTACATTACCAAGATATCAACAATTTCTCTCAAGAAAAAGCATTAACCGCTTGTGGCACATCAAGTGGAAGTTAACAGATTCAAAAAAAAAATGTGTTGGCATATCCAGCTGAGTCAGTATTTGCATATGGAATGAGGTTCATAGTAAATGACGGATAAAAGGAACCTTGATCTATAGTACCATCAACACGCCAATGATCCTTTGATTGAACATCCACTCAGTTCTTACGTTCATCAATTGAAACAAAGACAAAAAATGCATATCCAGAAGCTTCCAAGGAACTAGTCATTGAAAACACTTGGGGTCGATGAAGTTTATGAGATATATCAATGTCAAACTAGCCTTTCCCCAATAATACAAGCTTGTGATTCAATAAGAACAGAATTGTGGTTTAAAAGTATGATGTATGTTCCTTTCCGGAATACAGTTTGACAACCTGCACACCCATAGAAGTATAATGTCTTTAATAGGGAAAAACTCTTGAAAAATATTTCCCATATAATCTCCCCATGAACCTCAGCAGATATTTTTTGAATTTCTTTTTTTTTTTAGCAAGTGATAATTTTGAATTTCTTTCAATAAATTTTAACCATGATATAAAAGGCTTTACAGTATTCAAAACATCATATTTGAATAGTATCAAATACAACCATGTTTCATGAGAAAAATCATCAACTGATGTAACATAATATAAGGAACCACATTTGATACCACATGCCGTTGATCACCATACACTTGAATGACATTATCAGGATAAAGAGCCCAACTACTACTAGAAGGAAATGGTACCATTGTGCATTTGGCTAATCATTTTCACATTAAAAATGAACAGAGAGAGAATGGACTTAGGTGGGCTACCCATGTGTGGCACTGACTAAGTACAACACCTGTTAGGAGGTGTGAGTTAGTTCAAGTGGAAAGACTGAAAAGGACAAGGGGTAGGCCCAAAAGGACATGGTTGGCAGTAGTCCAAAAAGATATGGGGACTTATGGCCTCACTGAGGATATGGCCTTTAATAGCGCAGAATGAAAAACCAGGATTTATGTAGCCGACCCCAATTAATTGAGTAAAGGCTAAAATGATGATGATGAAATTAAAAATGAACAGAATTTCTAGCAAGAGGACCATGTGACCATTAGACCTGATATAAATTAGGGGTAATTTTAAATGAACAAACATATAGGTTTTCCAGAAACAGTCTAGGTTGATCTAAAAATGTTCTCTAGGAAGTTCTCATGATCCAAGAAGAGAAGCATGTCCTAAATATCTACCTTACATGTTTCAATATCTTCTTTTATGTCCCTTATATGCTAAACATTATTATGATCCTATGATTATTCCACATGCATCTACATTCTTGTTAAAGACATTAGCGCTTACATCATAGGTGTGATAATACTATGCCACCCTCAACTTGAGCCTATATAAGTAAACAAGGTACAGTGTCATCCCTGATAACTTGGATGAACAAAATAACAAGTTGTGGCAACAATGGGAAATTGAACAAAAAGACAAGTTGTTCATGAATCATGAATCTGCGATTATAATATAATTTCTATTAACACCTAGGCGCTGGGAGTTTTTTAAGGATAATCAAGACCTAAACAGTACAGAAGGTGGTAATCAATCAATAGTCTAGCAGCAAAGTAAGCACCCCACCCAGTTTCCAATTCCCACCCAACAATACATAATAAAAGCATCTCCAAGCTAATGTGCAATTCTTGCAGTCATCTTAATCTTTTACATTACTTATGTGGTCCAACAAAGATCCCAACTATTGCATAGCCAATCAAGTAAAAGAATGGAAACATTTATGGATGCACCATTAGGATAACAGATAGCCAGTCATTAGAACCTTGCCAAACTCCAGAGGTCACAGCAATGAGCATGGAAACCTGCACACCTTACGGCTCATGGCTATATGAGTGTAACCAAATATTGACACATTGAACCTTAAGAAAATAAAGGAAAACATTCCAAGATATTGAATGAGTACAACATGATATTTACGAAACATTAAAACCAAAGATCATGACATTCACAAAACATAGCCCTACTTCAATCTTGCCTAGAGATGTAGTTATGTTGTCGAAAAACTTATGATTACTTCTTTTTTTTAAAAATCTATTTTCATCCCTAGTTATAAAATTTAAATTTATAAAGCTGGTATAAATCGAACAGATCTATAAACACTTGGAAATCTTAAAAATAGATGGTGCAGAAAACTTGTTACAAGATGCATTAGTTTTAGGACTTAAGATTATTATTTTCTTCCAATCCAAGCATCTCGAGGTAGAAATGATGAATTGGAGGGTTTCCGAACGTTGGAACACTCTATTCTAGAGGATTTTCGAGGTGCACCTTACTTTAATAGTATAGGGTTGACACCTTGTATAAATGTTTTCCTTAAATAAAAGATCCCTCAAGTTTAGGGGAAGTACAATGGCACATGTACAAACTATTATTCCAAAATGAAAGTAGAGGAGGCCCATTTTAAAAACACAGAGCCACTCAATCTAAGATAGATTGAAACCACATAATCATGTACCTTCTTTGCAGACTTTGAAGTGAACCATTGAGCCGATTGTGTTTGCTGCCGAGGTGTTCCTGCACTATTAGCAACAGCATGAATAAGAAAGTAAAGGCATTTTCTTGTCATGCAAAATTCCATCCAAAGTTCCAAACATGAAATTGAGTCATCGTACCATTCAAATCAGATTCGCTCTTTGTTGGTGATGGCTTACCCCTCTAGAAATAAATATTTCAAATACATATTAAGACACCTAAAATATGTCTGAGATAAGAGAAAAGGCTTTTCCTTTTATAGACATGTCAACTAAAAATATTAAGAAAAACTTAGCATCACACTTACAGCTATTAATCCATCTAGACCTTCCATTGGAGGAGGATTCAAGTTCTCCAAGTCTGTTTTCAAATAATTATGACAATAATACATAAGGAATTTTTCAACCATCAAGAATACATGTTTCTCAATTTGTTTATACAAGGTCTAGAATTGTGTTGTGTCAGAAAGTCTAATATGAAATCTCAAGAAAAGAAGAGAGAACAAGAGAACTATAACCTAAAGCAAACTTTACCTGTGCTGGCTAAGACATCAGGAGTTATTTCATGCCCTGATTGTGCCAGTGAAATTAACTGTACCCAAACCAACAATTTACTTGAATCAGGAAAGTCATTAATATAACAACATGTGTATGTGTATAGTTCAACATATGTCTTTGCATATGCGCATACAATATATAGTTCACAAATTCAAGAAGCAGACCTGCATTGCAGTAATAAACTCCTTGAAACCAAGAAATCCCTGGCGCTTCGAATCAGCAATAGCCCATACCTTAAAAAAAAAAAAAAAATGTGAAACCTCAACTTATGAAGCATGAGGGGCCAGATATCACCAGATTCTAAATTAAGCTAAACCTAAAAGCCATTCAAAAGTCAGTTTAACAGAAGATGACTACCATACAGCACATACTTTTGACAATTACGTAACTACCAGCTTATAGAAACTGCACTTATACCTGAATGGCATGGATAAAAGTGACACCCAATCTTTTGTTTTTTAAGACAAGGTTACAAATGCACAATCTGATTATTAAAGAATAAGCTTATGTATGTTAAAGATTAACGATAAGAGATATTAATCAAAACTATACTAGCAAGCTCAACACAATCTAATCAATTTGATTTAAATTGGAGTCAACCTGTTCCAAGTCAATGCCATTTTGAATTTCTCATAAAGCCACTATAATGAAATAAAATGGCACAAAGTTCAGCACAATGATCAAGGGTGCATGAGTGAAAAATAACTATCCACCAATTCAGAAAGTTTGAACCTACATCACAAGCAAAACACTAAACAGATGCATAAAAGAAAACAAAAGAGGTGGAAACTTAACCTGCTTCAGCTCTGGTCTCGACAATTTAGACAAAGAGAAGAGTTTAATGGCATCATTTCCAGTGATCCGCGCATCACCATCTGCCCATAACCCACTTTGAGGAGAGAATTAGAACAGAGGGAGAGAGAGAGAGTAAGAATAAGAAGAAGATCATGATGATGATGATGATGAAAGAAACAATGAATCTCTATAAAAATAAATAAAATATTTGAGAGAGTGTGTGTGGATGCATGCGTATGAGAGAGAGGGAAAACTAGAATTGCCAGTTATAGTTCGCAAACAACACCAGGATAAAGCGAGAGCGGGAGAGAGGAGAGAACACTAGAATTTCGAAACATATCACAAATGAGAGAGAGAGATAGACATGATCATTTTGAACAACGAAAGAGAGAGCAAGTGATGGAAAAGTAAAGAGGAGGAGAAAGGAGACCGGAATCAGCATAGTTGAACCACTGCTGATAGATCTTCTGGTGCTCTTTGGAACATGTGCCGACAGGAAGAGAGACGATCTCCATGGAAATGGGCCTCCCTAACTAGAAAAAGCCTCTCTCGCTAACAAAGTCTCTCTATCTAGGGTTCTGATTTATTTCAAAGATTGCACAGGCGGTGGTATGGGAAGAGAAAGACGCTTACAAGCCGGGAAAAACCCCTTCCTCCCCTTTTTGAACTGCTACCTGAACTTGGGTAAATAAAAGGGGTACTTACTAAAACCACTCCATTTGTCCTTCCTAAACACTCTACCCCCACCCTAATCTTTTTCTTACTTCTTTTTATAAAAGACCACATTTTCTTACTAATACCCCCAACTGAAAAATTATTCTTTTTTTGACCAAAATACCCCTTAGTACTATAACGGTACAACCAAATCCTTTGGACGGGCCCAATATAAAACATCACCGGACCGCAGTTATTAGTTGCTGGAAAAATATTACATATCGGACTGCTATTCACAACTACTGGAGTGCTTAGTAGACAATGATATGCCGGAACGCACATCTATAACACCGGACTGAACTCACTCCAGTAGTAACAATGCCGGAGTTAACCAAGTACAAATTCGTAAGACTGTGCTCATAAATCGCCCGGCTGAACACACTCCTCTAGCTCTAGGGAGAAAATTGCTTGTCTGCTGTCACATGCCAGAGAGGCCATGTATCAAGAGAGCTACTCGTCGGACCGAGGCTCACGAACGCCGAACTACCTGATGATATTGTCGGTCTGATTCTATCTAATGTCGGACTAACCCAACCTGTTACAACTCTACCGAACTGCTGATTGATTACGCCGGAGTGATTGTGTATAAAGCCGGAGTGCTTTGCAGTAGTATCAGCGTGATAATTTTCCAGGGGGCATAGTGTCGGGCTGCTATTCTTCAACCGCTGGAGTGCCATGAATCCACAGAGCTATTCACCGGACTGAAGATCAAAATCGCTGGACTGGTTGAATGTATCGCCAGTCTGCTCCTCTAGAATGCCGGACTGATGTAGCCTGATACCTTTCTATCAGAATGATTAAAGATTTTGCCGTAGTGCCTTTGTATATCGCTTGATTGCTTTAGTTAATCACCAGACAGATAATTTTCTAGGGTGCAAAACGCCAGTCTGGTGTGCTCGGAACGCCAGAGTGCTCATGAATCCAGTGAGCTTTTCACCAGACTGAGGCCACAAATCGCCGGACTGCTTCACACTATCACCACTCTGCTCCTATATAGTGCCGGACTGACCTAGCCTCATAAACATTTGCCTGACTTCTTCGAGATTTTGTCGGAGTGCTTATGTACTTCGCCGGAGCGCTTTGCTTTAACGCCGGACTGATAATTTTCCAGGGAGCACATTGTCGGTCTGATGTGCCTCAAATGTCGAAGTGCCAATGAATCCAATGAGCTTTTTACCGGAGCGAGCAAGTGAAGTGCCGGATTGATCTTTCATCCAGCAAGTTGAGTGTCGGTTTATTATAATGAAGTGCCAGATTTGCTTCATCATGTGCCGGAGCACATTCTGAAAGTGCCGAAGCACTTCGTATAAGTGTCGGAGCGTGTTATACAAGTGTCAGAGCACCCATATATGTTACAAGAAATATGAACATGTAATTTCCAGTGTATTTGGCCTATGTAGTAGCCTACAAACAAGTGCTTATGCAATGAACCAAGAAAATTGAATCCATCAACCTAATGGATTTGTCCAAGAAAATTGAATCCATCACCCCAATGGATTTGGCCTATGAACAAGTGTTTATGCAATGATCCAATAAAATTGAATCTATCAACCCAAAGGATTTGTCCAAGAAAATTGAATGCATCAACCCAATGGATTTGTCCTATGAACAAGTGCTTATGCAATGATCAAAGAAAATTGAATCCATCAACCCAATGGATTTGTCCAAGAAAATTGAATCCATCAACCCAATGGATTTGTCCAAGAAAATTGAATCCATCAACCCAATGGATTTGGCCTATGAACAAGTGCTTATGCAATGATCCCAGAAAATTGAATCCATCAACCCAATGGATTTGTCCAATTAAATTGAATCAATCAACCCAATGGATTTGGCCTATGAACAAGTGCTTATGCAAGGATCTCAGAAAATTGAATCCATCAACCCAACGGATTTGGCCTATGAACAAGTGCTTATGCAATGATCCAAGAAAATTGAATCCATCAGCCCAATAAATTTGTCCAAGAAAATTGAATCTATCAACCCAATGGATTTGGCCTATGAACAAGTGCTTATGCAATGATTCAAGAAAATTTTATCCATCAACCGAATGGATTTGTCCAAGAAAATTGAATCCATCAATCCAATGGATTTGGCCTATGAACAAGTGCTTATGCAATGATCCAAGAAAATTGAATCCATCAACAATTTTATCATATCAATCTTTACAGACTCAATATTAACTTTTTCAAAACAGGAACTGTATTGATAAAGTTACAAACTCGTTGGCCTATGCTTGACCAAGTTTCAAAGCAGGAACTACATTAATAAAGAACAACACATTGAATATTTAAAAGGGTATTGATAAATAACACATTGATAAAGAATAACACATTGAGTACTTAAAAGGGTATTGATAAAGAACAACACATTGAGTACTTAAAGGGTATTGATAAAGAACACAGTAACATAATGCTTTCATTAACATAATACCAACAAAAAAAATGTACATTGCATGAACTGTCTATGATATACTAGCTTCAATTTACATTTGACTAAAAAAAATACATAATTTTCACTTTTTTGGAGTCAACCATCTCTTTGGCCAACTTGCAATTGCCTTGCCCTTATCATTTTTGCTCTTTGTTCTCCTATCATTTTCCTCATCAGTCTAGCTCTCTCTTTCCTTGTCATTTTTGCTCTTTGTTCTCCTCTCATCTTCCTCATCAGCCTCGCTCTCTCTTGCCTCATCTCCGTCATCTCCCTCTTCATTATTGCTTTCCTTATCTCCACTATCTCCATCCTCACTCTCGTTGTCGTCATCTCCAACTTATATATCCTCATCATCGCTTCCACCATCTTCCTTCACCATCTCCTCGACATTATTTGTAGGAGTGCTCTGCACTAACAAATCGTGGGTTGCCTATACCAAATGTTTGGATTCCCTTGCTATTACTTTACCACGAAATGCAGCTTGTAGCATCCCTATACAGGTTAATCACTGCAAGTAGACAATAAAAGTAACATAAATCGCTGCAAGTAGACAATGAATAGACAATTATTTTAAGTCAATAAAAACTAAAATAAAGTAATTAAAAACATATACAAAGCTCATCTCGTCATCATGGCATGCGAGGGGGGGCTGCGACTGTGAGGGGGGGCTCAGGGGGAGTATTTCCATATCTATGAGTGAACATGTTGTACCAGGCCATATATTCCTTTACAGGCATGCCACTATATTCATCTGCGGCTGCCTTGACAACATTGCATTCTCGTTGCCGCCAGTCTCTCATCTCAATAGCCAACTCATTAATCCAACAAGTGGGGTGTAGACCGACCTTCTCTCTCCTCTCCCACTTGAGTAGCCCAACAGGTATAACTTGTAACTTCCCAAATTGCTGCAGCACACGGTTCGACATATAACACTCTGCAATGTGGAAGCTTATCAAATATGATCGGCACAACGTGCTTTCTATACTGAGTTTATCTAATGGTTTGTAATCCTCATATGGTTGCCAATTCATCTACAAATAAAAAAAAATATTAACAATGTCACTTATAACAAAAACATAACATTAACCATATCAATTGAGATGTCATCAAATGTTGATAATGAGTCTTTGCAGCGTGGTTATTTCTTACACTTGCAAGCTCTAGGCATTTCTATGGTGATAGTTTTAGGTTTGGTGCCTATAGTTAGAAAATGCTCATAGATCCAACACTACACAAAAAAAGAGTAGAAGTATTAATTTGAAGCCAAAAAGACTGCAAATATGTAAATATTGACTAAATAAAGGTGTAAATTATCTGTAGTAGTGTTGTTGACCCACTAAAATACATATCCCCGTCCACGACCTTAGACAATGAACGATACAAGAAGGTAAGTGCTGCTGCACCCCATGCATACTTTCCAGCCTCATCGAGATCTCGAAACAGTTGTAGGTAACTTGTAAGTGTGGACCCTTGAGATGCATTGGCAAATATCGTTGTGCCGACCAAATATAAGAGATATGCTCGTATGTGTTGAAGGAGTTTTACTTTGGTAGGCTTTTTTGTAGTCGATCGAATTTCGTCCTCAACCAGGCATGTTTAAGACGACTTAATTTATCACCTTTAAGACAATCTCCCAAATACTCCATGATGAAAGCCTTGTAGTCTGTAGGTCTGATGCCGATTACAGACTCTCATGTCATAGGTATCCTCAATATATTCTACACGTCATACAAGGTTGGAGTCATCTCACCAACAGTCAAATGTGCAGTATTTGTCACCTTGCACTATTTTCCTATAAAGGCCCTCAATAAATTACAATCGATATTAGAGACCCCAATGTCTACCAAGGAGTTCAATTTGGTCTTCTCGACCAAAGCTACCTATCATGGATCTAGCTCCCATTTTCCTAGGGTCTTAGTTTATTCATTAATACGGAAATTTTTATTCTTTTGAAATGAAGTTCAATAATAAATGACATATATTAGTTATAAACAATATAAGAATTATCTAAATAATGTAAATCATGAAGTAAAGTAAATAGATTATCATACTTTTTCCCTTTGATCTAATGAAGTGGATGGGTCCCTTTTTCCTCTTGACTATTCTGGGTCTTGCAACATTAAGTCTATTTATATTATCAGAGTTTTACATGTGCACATCACATCAATTAAGAGGATATGTATATATGCATTGGCAATAAAAATAAAAAAAAGAATAATGAACGCAATAACAACAAAAAGAATAATATATGTGGCCCAATAGCGTAAAAAAGAGAATAATGATTGTAATATAAAAAAAGAGAATGATGAATGCAATAACAAAAAAGAAACTAATATATGTGGCCCAATAGTGCAAAAAAGAGAATAACAAAAAAGAGTTATCTATATGCCGTACAAGGGCAAAATTTACATAAATACATAGGTGTTACGAATAAGTCATGAATAATAAGAAGTCCATCAACAATAAGAAGTCTATCAACAAAAGCTATTATCTATCTCCATATCCAAATATCGATGCAAAGCTTAAATTACTTTTG